GGAAGGGGGAGAGAGGGAGGGGGGAAGGGGTCAGCAAAGGGGATTGACAAAATGCGTAACCAGGGCTCAGACAGACAATATGGGGAGTAATTTGCAATTTTCCATTTGCTGCCTAAACAACCTTGCTCTTTTCTTCTATCCACTCATCAACCAGCAAAAATGGGGGAAGAGTCGCCTGCGGCGCGCTTGGTGTTCACTAGCTGAGGTAGTTGGTTGCCCCCCACCCAATCGGTCTTGGTAGGGCCCTGCCAGTCTTCGCTGGGCAGTTAGATGCAAGATGCACGTTCGGGGCAAATATGGTCGTTCCCCTGGTAAGCTTACTCAGGTAGTTGCACCCCCTAGAGAGCTTAGTCACGTAGCTAGACCCCCTAGAGAGCTTAGTCAGGTAGCTAGACCCTCTAGAGAGCTTAGTCAGGTAGATACACCCCCTAGAAAGCTTAGTCACGTAGTTACACCCCCTAGAGAGCTTAGTCAGGTAGTAAGGTAGTGCAAGGTATATTGAGAGACGAATATAGGTCAGTTTTTTCACTTGTATTTAAATAAAAAGGGGGGGCGGGGAAGAGTCTGGGCATAAAACACAGAGACACACGGAGAGGGGGAAAAAGAGTGTGCGCTTGCAAGACAGAGACACAGAGTGAGGGTGAGACAAGGAGTTGGGGGCTGCCATTGGAATTCACAAAATGCCACACAGGGGTTACCCGCCCGGGTGCGGGGAGGGGATGGAATTGAAGGACCCAGCAGGACCACAGTCACCGAGCTGCCTTGCCTTCTTTTCTCTCTCTTCGAGTTCTCGAGCAGCAAAACTGGGGGAAGGAACGAGGCCACTGTCCAGGCATGCAGGAGAGAGAGTGAACAACACACCAATTTCGTCGCCAAACAGGGGTACAAAATGGGTCAAGTGGAGTACAACACTCCAGGATTTGAACCCCTGACCTCTGTAGAGAGTCTTCTTTCAAAAACAAGCACAATACCAGTCTATAGACTCTATACTAAAAAGACTTTTTCCAAAATGAAAGTTAAAACTTAAGATACACAAAATGAAAAACTCGACTTTCGTCAGCGCTGAGTTTCGAAGAAAGATACATCATTGGCCAAGTCAGTGAAATGATTGTGGCCCTCTTTTACTGGACCTCATAAAGCACTGTGCAAAGTACGAAGAAAATTGGAAAAACAACGAAAATGGTTAGTGCAGGGCAAAGTGAAGACCAAAGTGCGCTATCCCATATATTTATTTAGCAGTGGCTGTTAACTTAAATCAAGTTAAACGCCACTGTCCTTCTAGAGAACACAGTGACAGAAACTTTGGGACAGTCCTTTCCAGGTCTCAGACACCATCCCCTCAGATAAGCCTTGGAACGGTGGAACCAAGTAATCTTTTTTTTTTTTTTTTTAATGAAAAGGGCGACGACCTTGCGATAATCAACTGTAGCTCTTCCTTCCCTCGTCAGGACTTCCAGAAGCGTAATAGCACTCATACTATCAGAGGGGGTTCATACGGACTGGGGTAACGAGTGTGGGCAATGACTGCAGCAGGCATGGAGGAGTGAGACACACAGAGAGGCAGAGAAACAAAGTGAGAGGGCAAAAGGGGGAGGGGGGGGGGGCGAGGGGCTAGTCGAAGGGAATGAACAACATGGCTAAACAGGGCTACAAACAGACCGAGTGAAGATTCACACTCCAGGACAGGAATTGAACCGCTGACCTCTGAACACCAAAGTGCACCATCCTGTATTCATTCAGCGGCAGTTGCTTTATGCAACTGTTCTTCAAAAGGATACAGTGACAGTCTGACAGATGAGACAGCGCTTTCCAAGTTTCAGACACCTTGATCAAGGCCTCCAAGCTGGCTGCTAATCAATATCATAAGATTCATAACTCTTCCCACATCATAGAAAAAGAGCAATACAGTTTTAGTGCGGACAGAGTCAATGTGCCTACTAACAGTGTGAACACCTCTGAAATCAGACAGCTCACTCACTCCACTTGGCTGAAGTTCCTAACCCATTTATGATTATTTACTATTTACTATTTACAGATTAAATGATTTGTTCTACAGGATTAAATTAGCAATTTCCTCATCAGAGTTCAACGCAACCTCAGGACGTACATTCAGTGAGACGGTGAATGACAGACAGACAGAATGAAAGGAGGCACGGATGTAGAGACAAACTTATGAAAAGAGAGAGAGAGAGAGAGACAGAGAGAGAGAGAGAGAGAGAGAGAGACAGAGAGAGAGAGAGAGAGAGAGAGAGAGAGAGAGAGAGAGAGAGAGAGAGAGAGAGAGAGAGAGANAGAGAGAGAGAGAGAGAGAGAGAGAGAGAGAGAGAGAGAGAGAGAGAGAGAGAGAGAGAGAGAGAGAGTCAATAAATGAGGCCTGAGAAAGGTTTGTTGCCCTGGAGGCAGCTGCTACATCAAGAGCGGGGCAGACAACTTACACAGTACTACGGTAGGGTCTCATTCCTGTGTGATACAAAGTATTAGAAACCGTGCGATTGACACAATTATTTTTCACAGTCTTCAGAAGTTGAAGCCAGCACTCTACAGTGTTAGAGATTTCAAACTACTAAACAGGAAAGTTGCAAATTGTGTTTTATTGTTTTACAGAGGATGGATTTCTCACATCGTAGGCCCCCAGCTCGTAGTGAAGCACTCCAATATTATTAAGCAACTCCAGTGGAACAGGTTGCTTCTTCTTGTCCATCAACATCCTCGCCTGCACAGAACAAATATTCGACACCATCCAAAACATGAACCTGCGAGGCAAGATCTCAAAACGCCAGCATGTGGATGGTAACACACACACACACCGACAGCTCAAAAAAAAAAAAAAAAAAGAAGAAAAGGAAGAAGAAGAAGAAGAGGCATCCGTGCCGACTGTTCAGGATCAGCGTTCTGATGAGCTGGTGCAAGAACGACGAAACAGTATGACACAGTCATGCTTTTTTTTGTGCAATTGTGTACCAAACATTACAACACACACACACACACACACACACACACACACACACACACACACACACACGGACACACAAACACACACGCTTTTTTTTGTGCAATTGTTTACCAAACATAATTGAAACATTACAACACACACACACACACATGCACACACACATGCACACACACATGCACACACACACAAGCACACACACACCGGGCCCAAGGGAAATTTTTCCCAAGAGCAACAGGTTGTGCACATGCTCTCGGAACACACCTCGCCATGTGGAGGAACATCAGACATGTAACTGTGAGTAAACTGACTACGAATTATGACGTGATCAGAGGGCTTTTTTTTTTTTTTTGGACCTTGCGCAGGGGCCATGCTAATCTTCTCTGTATCGTTCCAATTTCAACGGATGTCCTGAAGGACCGCAATCAGACTTTCTCTCTTTTCCTTTTACTTTTGTTTTTGTCGTTTTGTGCCATTTTGTTTGAAGGTTAGTAAATAGGTCATGTGCTCGAACTGTGCTTTTCCGTTTCTGCTTTTGTGTTTTTGTTGTTCTGAGTCTTTTTTTGACGGTTTTCTGCCCTTGCAACTTGATGTTAGTAAATAGGGCACGAGCTCAAAGAAGGCCATTTCCTTTGTAACGCTAAACGTAAAAACTAAGTAAACAGGTCATGATATCAAACTGTGATGGACATAGTATCATACCAATACAATAATGTGAGGATTTTCTTGTCGTTTTGGACCGTCTTGTTTCTGTCCGTAGACAGTTCACGAGCTTGAATTGTTTCAAACTTGGACGGATTCATTAAGGGGATCCCTTTTTCTTTTTTCTTTTTTTTTTTGGGGGGGGGGGGGGCTATGACCCCTTGCCCGTTTCATGTTCGAATGGATGGGCCAGGGTTGTTCAACTAAGTACACACAAGATGGGCCATGTGGATGAACAGTGGACATGTGACTGTTAGTAAACAGGTCATTCATGGGCTCTAATTGTGATGGAAAAGGCTAAGCCCACTCCCCTCCGCCATCCCCTCCCCCCCCCCTCCCCTCCAACCCCCTCTTTTGTCTTTTCTTTCTTTGTTTTAAGACAAGTACTCAGGGGAAAGAGTGACCACTCCCCGTCCTCTTCTTCTCTTCTTCTTTTGATACAACGAGTGAACAACAAGGGGAAAGGGCTTCTGAAACGCACGTGGCTAAATGGGATGCAGTGCTACACACATACCGCCGCTAATAAACAGGTCACGAGTTCGAGTTCCGGTGGAATCAAATGGAGATATTAAGGCTAGAAAAATGGGAAAAAAAGAGGGCTTCAAAAACATACAGTGCATTGGGGTTCTCTCTGCCAGTCGCAACTTCTCCTTGGTGCTCCTTTTTTAGGAGAGTGTGGAATGGTGGGCAGGTGGTTTCCGTCCACAGCCCAGCCTAGAGAGCATCACCCACATACCCCTCATTGTACCACCCAGCCCACCAAAAATCCACCCACCTACTCTGCATTCTACTGCCCACCCCACATAGAACAATGCAGTCCACATAGTATCACCTACCCACATAGTACGCCACAGCAAGACAACCCAGTCCACATGGTACCACCCAACCCAAATAGTATCACCCATGCCCGGCTCATATAGTAGCATCCACTCCACATCGTATGACCCATCCACATAGCACCCCGCAACTAGACGAACCGGTCCACATGGTACTACCCAACCGACATAGCATCACCCATGCCCATTCCCCATAGTACGATCCAGTCCACATAGTACGACCCACCCACATGGTACCCCTGGCTAGACAACCCAGTCCACATGGTGCCCCCGAACCCACATAGTATCGCTCACGCTGCATAACACGACCAAGCCTGCATACTACCACCTAGCCGTGCTATGGTGAGTTCTTTCTCATTGTGCGTTGTGAGGACAAAGAGACAGAGAGAGGGTCACCACGCACCGGATCCCGGGGCTCGTGCTCTGCCTTCCCTTCCCCCGCCCACCACCACCAAGTGCTCTCCCTCTCTAACCGAATTCGTTTCTACATGCCTAACTCGAGCTGCACGCAGACACACACCATTGCCCCTGTTGCTCTCCCGTGACTTCAACGAAAGAACAGCAATGCATCTGGAGAGCTTCAGGGCCTATCTAGTTTACAGCATGCACAGGTGAAAGACTTACCCTACTTTGTGTTTGATACATCCAAACTGCAACTACTTCCTCCATCATCAATGGACTACCGTCTTCCCCCAAACACAGCTCACCCTCATTATGGCTGTACCGCAGAGGAAACAAAGCTTGTATGCATTCATTATCAGGGTGCATTATGGTTGTGGGAAGACGGTTGGCCTGGAGACTTACGCTGCCGGCTTTTGGTTTATTATCGGCACCGCATGACGCAGTTCATGAATCACAACCAAGATTTGTCTATTACCATTCGAAAAACAAAGTTCCAAAAAAAGGTTATGGTTATCGATACGAACCCTTTTTAATGCATCCAAAGCTCCAGCAAGATCGCTCTTCACAAGCAATTCTCCAATCTCCAGCCACGCCTGCACACACACACACATAGAGAGAGAGAGAGAGAGAGAGAGAGAGAGAGAGAGAGAGAGAGAGAGAGAGAGAAAGAGAGAGAGAGCATTTAAAAATAAAAATAAAAAACGAGTCATAAATGGGCGATAACAACCCTCTTCAGGGTTGCTATAAATAGAATTTCAACCTGGTGGTTGGTTGGCTGGGAGTGCCTTTTTTCACTCACTTGCAAGGACCTGCCAAACATGGACTCAGACACACAGCTGATTTCTGAGTTTTGCCAATGGAATGTATGTACGCCTTGCTGAGTTTCCCGCTTGTTGCTGAGTTTTCTAAGTCTGTGTGTGTGTGTGTGCGTACTGGTCTGCGTGCCTGTCTGAGTGCTTGTCGGTTTGAGTGTGTGTGTGTGACCTGCAGGGGTACTCGTCCGTGCCGGAGGCCCGAAGGGCCGGCACTTACCTGTGGCCGTGACATTGAGGGTTGCAGGGGGGAAAACACTCATGATACAGGTTTTTACTGAAATACGTTTTGATTCTATTAAGAAGATCATGAAGACTGGTACTTGACCGCAACACTTAGAGCAGTGGAAAAACACTCAAGTAGCAGGTAGGCCGGTACCACACAAAGTACAGGTAGATGTGCCGGGTACTCGATGCCGAGCAGAAGAAGACAAATTTGGCATTTTTTGAGGCCCAGTAGTTGTAGGCTAGGTCTAGGCGGGTACCAGTCCAAGTAGTCTGAGTCTAGGGCCTGTACGGGCAATTTTATCAGAGTCTGCGATGATGTTTCCCTCCGAAAGGGAGGAGGTAACGGTTGCTTGGAGGCCGAAAGGCCTGGAAGTCACCGCCCAAGAGGCAAGCAGGCCGCTATATCTCCTGCAGGAGCAAAGAGCTCCTCCTCATTCTACAGTGTGCAAGTTTGGGGACACACTGCTTGGAGCGCTGGCTGGAGCAGCGCTGGTTATACCTGCACTGCTGGGGAGGAAGGAGCGCCCAGCTCCCCACCAGGGCTATGGTGCAGGAGCACGGGCTGAAGCAGGAGGAAAACGAGGACTAGGAAGGAGAGAGCGCCAGAGGTACTCACCTGGCTATGGTGGATGCCATCGTTATCACCTTGGTGGGCGCTGCGTCTGGAAGGCCCCCATTGGGGTAGAGCTCAGAGAGTGCAAACGGGTAACCGCTGCCCATACCCGGCCGTACCCAACTGTAACCGCCAGGTTATGGGTGGGTATTGGTATCCCTTCCGAAGGGGGAGCTGGGTATGGGCAAGCACAAACAAAAGGTGGTGGACGGGCACAATTGCCCTTTTTGGAGATCATGGGTGGGTAGGGGCAGGTAGCAGTAGGGGTAAAAACAAAAAAACGGGTATGGGCGGCCAAAAAAAAAAAAAAGATGGGTATGGGCAGGTACGGGTGGCCAAAAAAAAAAAAGGGTGGGTACACGCGGGTAGAGGTTCCCATCGGGTAACCATGGTATACCCAATGTGAGTCTTATAGCTTTGAAGCATACTTGCGGCGCATCGAGGTGCGCGGCATCCAGCACGTGCGCTGCACCGCGCACCGCGCGCGACGCGCGCACACGGGGTGCGGTGCACCCCGAAAATAAGGGGTCAGCCAAAAAAAAAAAAAGTTGGGGAGGGGTTTTCCAGGCCCGGCCCTGATGTCGCGCCATGAAACCAAAAAAAAAAACATCAATATTTTGAGGCCGCGCGGGGCCTCTGAAGAAAAAAAAGGGGGGCAGCTGATTTCAGTTTGTTTTTCAACTTTTGAATTTGGAGTGCTGCCCCCGGTAGTCCAGCTTTGGTCTCTTCGCGCCCGCCGTGCCGTGCATTGCCCGTCGCATCTCCTGTGCAGCAGCAGCAGTCCAGGGCGCCGTCGTCCAGCCATAGCCAGGGCACAACAGTCATCGTGAAGGAGCCGACGAAGCAGCGGGAGGAGCGCGGCGTCAGCTCGTAGACTTGCCAGGTGGGTAACCACCAGTCCCTCTCTCTCTCCCCTCCTCCTCTCTCTCTCTCTCTCTCTCACACACACACACACACACACACACACACACACACACACACACACAAATGTGGCAGTGTATATTTCGATGTTGTAGCGGTAGATTCATTCAATTTTGCTTGTCCTGTCGATGGAAGAAGTACCCGGAGGTTAGCTGCGACGTTGGAGACCTACCTTTTCTCTCTCTCTCTCTCTCTCTCTCTCTCTCTCTCTCTCTCACACACACACACACACACACACATCTTCCTCCTCCAACCAACGTGTCACCTCCCTCCATCCACCCTTCTCCCTCCTCCCATTTTCTCCCGCCGCTTCCCACCATCCCACCTTCGACCTTTCTCCCATCTCCCGCCATCTCTGTATC